GTGTGTGTGTGTGTGTGTGTGTGTGAGTGTGTGTGTGTGTGTGTGTGTGTGTATTTGGCTCTGCTATCTATCTCTTGACACAAAAGTCAAGTGCTACATCCCACAAGTGATGCAGACTGCCAGAAAGTGCCTTGCGCCGAGCCGCATCCTGTGAGCAGAGCAGGATAATCGGATAGACCGCAGCTAGTCGCCTGCTGCGTCATCATCATCGACATATCTGCTCTAAAGTACTTGGATTACTTTTTATAGTATTCACCAGACGACCTGGCCTAGTCGCACATGCACGACGACCGTTTTATTTGGGCTCGGTAATCAATATTTAATTGATTACAAATATGAGGAGCCCCATCATAAGTAGCCAGCATCGTCGTTTATATGTATGAAGTATTCAGGTTAGTACCTTTTAGTAAAGGGAAACGTTTGAGTCTGTTCATTCGCGCGATTCACGCTGCTTATGTGAAACCCCCATGCATGAGAGTGGGGTCAAATGGGTTTCAAACTACAAATGCAGCGAATTCTGTGAGCTGGCAATTAGGTCTGATTGGCATGCTGAGTTGCCCATGGACCCGGTTGGAAAACGGCGAGCCAGAGATGCCCGAAAAACTACGAAAAGCATCCGCAAAGACGATTTGGGGCACAATGCAACCAGCAAGCCAAATGCCAAATGCGATTAACAAGCGGAACTGCCAGAACAACAACAATAGCAATAGCTGGGAAAATTGAGTAGCAACAAGTACGTAAGAGTAGGGGCGGAGCGGGGCGGGGCGTGGCGTGGCGGTGCGAGCTATTATGGGGTCAACTTACCTAAGTGCTTCCAGATATGATTCTCAAATTGGGGCGTCCAACGATGCAGTCCGTTGACGCTGATGCGAAGCACATCCTTATCGCTGCCCACATCTAAACCTGATCCCAGCTCGGGCCGTTGCAATTGCCTGGACTCAAGGGGAGAGTCCGAGCTGTTGGTTACCGCTGAGGCAGGCAGTAATTTGCCAAAAGCAATTAATTCCGTAGGCAACATTTTCAGCATATTAGCATCGAAGCAATGCAGCGGCTCTAGTGTGGCATTCAGTTGCCTGCAGAGAGTGTGACGAAGAGATGGGGGAAAAATGAGGAAAGAAGATACAGATAGAGACAGAGAGAGAGAGAGCAAAGGTTATATAAAGCCAATGAAAAGTCAGCACAAAATGAGAAACCGCACATGCACTAAGAATGAGAGCGCTTTGTGGTTTCACTGATTGCGCAATCAAGTTTTTTTTTATAGTGGAATTCCCAATGATTAATTTATTTATTTGCAAAGTATATTAATGTCAAACGGACACCTTTATATTTAACCTCTATTATTATTTAATGCTTAAAAAATTGTTTGAGTTTGATAAATTTAAATAAATATAAAAAGTTGCCGCGATTTTTAGAGGGAATATCATAAATGAGCTGAAATATTTTAATGGAATTCCATAAACTCGTATGTTGAAAATATCAGGGGAATCGTTAAATAACTCTATAAAGGTATAACAGAATTTGTATTTGAATTATTAAAAGAAGAAAATCTATTTGTAGACGGAATATCATTAACTTTTGTTTTATCTATGCAAACTTAAACTATATCTGGGGCAAATAGCATTAACTCCGTCCATATGGGCTTTAGAGATGGATACTTTTTGAACAGGGAACATCTGCCCTCCCTAACTAAACCTTTTTTCCGAGGGAATACCAGGGGTAGTTCATTTTTAATTAGCTGAATAATGTTTGCAAATGTATTGCACTTACCCCTCATATTGGTAGGCAGCGCCGCTGTCGCTCCAAGCACTGGAGCCGCTGACGCTGCCGCTGCGCCGAGTCCCTCCGGAAGCTGCATCGTTTCCCAGGCTGCCATCGCTTGCCTCAGCAGCGGCTGCGGCAGCGGCAGCAGCGGCGGCAGCTCCGTTGGCCATTTTGAGCAGCGAAGCGCCTTTGTATATCGTTTCCGGCGTTAATGTTATTAAAATGGAGGACGACTGCGTCGCGAAGGCCGAGGCCAGCGGCTGCTCGGCCAGCTCGGCGTCCGTAAAGATGCGCGCGGCGAGAGCTTTAACAATTACCGGGCTGGTGCGAATCAGCTCCACAATGCCTTTGTGTGCGCAGCGCCGCCGATCTGCAGTCGGCGTTGACGTCGGCGCCGCCGTTGCTGCAGCGGCGAGCAGCGCCAGCAGCAGCAGCAGCATCCAAATGGTTGAGCTGGGCAGATGAAGCAGATGATGATGTCGCATGGCTGCGTTTATTCTCGATGCAGCTGAAGTGCCCGCCATGGACACTGACTTCTTATATATATAGATATGTATATATATATATCTTTTATCTGTTTGATTGCGCGAACAAATTTCGCTCAGGTTGGCATTGCAGTTTTTATCGCGCTGTGGCTTCAATTTACTTGCGCCAAAAGTCACGTTCCGGGCCGGAATCTTGATTCTTTTATGAGGGCGCGAATGCTGAGCGCACTTAAAATGCGTTGACATTCATTTCTATGCTGCAAAGATGAAAAAACGCACAGAACTGTGAGATAGAAAAGTAAACCAGGAACCAGAAACAATGGGCGGAGCTCATTTAAATAAATTGAATGTTATGCTTAGGTAAACCATAATTTAGGGCGTCGAACAGAGCAACGAACCGAAAAATGAGAACTTGTGCAATAAAAGGAGAAGCGAACAGAGAATAAAAGCCATATAAGAAGCAATCATCTGACTATCATCCCACGGAATATAGTAAATATATAAAGCGCGAGCCACGCAAACTGAGAAAACTTTGATGTAAAGTGGGAAGGGCGAGGCGAAGTGACTACTGAAGTGCAAAGCGGCACTGTGAAAGGGTGAAGTGCAGTAGGCCGTGAAGCGAGAAGCGGAACAGGGAGCGAATTTCGAGTGTAGTTATCCAATTTAATTTATTTAGCATATGCAAACCAAAAACTGAAATTGACCACAGCTATCGTCTAGAGCTCAGCGAGCAGCCCCATTGCTTTTGATTACCTACTTAAATGAAAATAATTTCATTTGCAGATGCCAACAATTTATTTGCATAGTGGAACGTGCAGTACTTGACCCAGGATGTAGCGACTGCCAGCTCATGTTCAATGTTGCAGTTGGAAATGGATTGCAGCCATTAAGACTAAAGATACGTAGTCCGCCCCCTGTTGACCTGCTTGAATAGCCTGTTCCTGCTGGCCAATGCCACACGCAGACCACAGAAATAATTAAACGCAATCCTTTGGTGCAGTCAATTTAAGATATTTGCTGTGGGTGCCCTTAATCCAGCTCCCATCCAGTCATCAAAGTCAATGCATTTGCTTTCATATCCTGCTGCAGGAAATAAATATCCCGATTAAATATTTCAACTCTTTTGTAGTTCACCATATACCTCTGTCCCTCTCACTCTCGGTCTCTCTCTCGCTTTCTCTCTCTCTCTCTCTCTCTCTCACTATCTCTATCTCTATCTCTATCTCTGTCTCTCTGTTTCTAAAGCACGCTGCAGCAAACGCAATACAATGGTCATCCATTGTCCTGCCTGCTGGCTGAGCTCTGCTGCTGGCTTCTCCATAAACGTGCAATAATCAAATAAAATTTTTACGCACATGAGCGCAGCACCCTCCAGCTGCCCCCACAGCTCGCCCCGTCTGCACCGACCCCCTCGACCTGTCCAATGCCTTATCCTGGCAGCACATCCTGCTGCTGGCTGAAACAATGCGAGTAATGGCAGAGCAAAACATTTTGCCAGATAAATGTTGGCTCCTGCCTCTTGGCGATCTCTCTGTGTGTGTGTGTGTGTGTGTGTGTGTGAGTTTATCCATGTGTGTGTGTGTGTGTGCGTGTGTGTAAGCGGGGCTAACAAAGTTACGACTGGCACTGAAATCATTCGCAATGTGCATATCCTGTGCTGCAGGCGCATCCTTTTTCGCCAACAGAAGGAGTTATGTAAAATAAAACCAACCGGCCGTGCAAAATTGAGCTCTCAATTGTTTTACGGCATTGCCTGACCCAGTAAAAAAATCAAACTGAAAAGGAAAAGCAAAATAGAATAGTTCTCTCTGAGTTGGAAAATATTAAATACCCTTGTAAACTAAATATATTGTAATCGCAATGCACTATAAAAACTAATAATTAAATTTCTTTAGTCGGGCTCATTTTGCAACCATTTTAACCAGCACTGTGTATAGGATTTTGATCCATTCTAAAATCCCTAAAGCTTTACATGAATCAGTAATAAATAGTATAATAACATATAGCATCTCGGTTGCGCTGTGGCATATTCTCCGAGTCAGTTGAAATACCAAACATATAGGGTAGAACTGATAACCCGGTCAAGTCTAGCGTAACAGCGGAGGAGATACAATGTATGAGCCTGGCCCCGTCCAAGTAGATCCGTGTGCGCCGGCCATTCTGTTGGCATTTTCCATTTCATGACCATTCGTCAGGTCACTTTCAACTTTCAGCAGAGTCTCCGGGGGCGGCAATCAGAGTAATTGTTATTGTTTTTTGCTTCTGCCCTGCCCTTTGTATCTTTTGTTGCACAACTGTTGTTGTTGATGTTTTTGTTGTTGAACTGCTATTTTTTGCAAATTGTCAAAGTTGTTTCTTGCAGTTGAATATCAAATAAACTCAGGCTACGGGCCCTAAGTGAAATGCACATGTCAAATTTGAGCCTTCAATATTGACAGGACTGTTTCTATTTCAATTTTAATTATTTTGAAAGTACTTTTTGGTCGTCAGTAAGTCGGATAAATTAGACAAGTCAACAAACTTTGATAGAAGTACAATAAGCAATAATTAGAGTGAACGAAGGTTGACGTTCTGAGCCCGAGTCCGAGTCTGAAAGGACGATTTACATATCTGTCAATCACATCTGACTTGAGGTACATTGATGTTCTCTCACAAGAATACAATAAATGGCAATAATATAATAAATAAAATTAATAATTACTGCTTTTCAAAATATATCTCTTTTGCGTTAAAACTTTAGTTTAAAAGGTATTAAAAAAGAATTCGAGAAAGTTTTTGAATGCTCTGGTTAATGCCATCCAAAACCATCGAGATTGTACAATCGCAGACTAAGTTAGTAAAATCTTGTGGCCTATAATATCATACATATAGTAAATTCCCCAATTCATGCAGCCAAAAACATGATTCAATCATAAATAAAAATTCAGTTTAACTTACGACTCCATTCATAAAAGAAATTGAATTTCTTCATCAAAAGTTTCTTTGAGTAAAACCATTGTAGCGCTTGTTAGCGACTAGAAGAAATGATAAATTTTAAGTTTGTAAATTTATTTATATTAAAATGGGAAAATAATTTAAAGTAAAAGCAATTATTAGTTGTTAAATCGTTACACACTCTATAGCTTAAAGATATCACCTGCCTATTAAATGCATCCCATTTCAACACTATAACGATATACATGATAATTTAAAACACAACTATTAGTTGTTAAATAAGTTATCAATGCAATGACGGCAAGGTTGCCAACTCAAAACTATGGTCCTCTAAAAAACCGATCGTCTGTTTATTTACAAAAAAAAATTACATTTTGTATAGCATCTGTTTACATAAAATTCTGATGTTTAAATTAAAATTTGTAACAAATAATTTTCATCTTTAATTTTGCATGTTGATTTTGTTTATCCTAACCCTACCTTCACTCTTTCTGTTGTCATATTTGTAACGCTTTTCAAGCCGAAATGAAATATATTTTCTATTTATCAATCAAATGGGATTTTTTTTCAGTCAGTTAAATATGTATTTAGTGAAAAGTTTTCGTTTTATTGGGAAACTTTCCCTCAATCAATTTGATATGGGACCAGTCGCTGACCCGAAAGAAAAGACATAAAAAAAAACATGAAAACATTTCTGTTTTCAATGAAATGAAACCTTACAAAAAATACATTTCGTATGCGATTGATTATTATAAGGCAAAGCAGACGATAAATAAAGAGAGAGAAACCACACCAGCCAGGGCCAAAAAGGGCCACATTAAAAAATGAGAGACCATTATTACAAATAAATTGAAGGCCAGTTGAATGTCTCTTAATGTGCATGCGTGTGTGTGTGTGTGTGTGTGCGGGTGTTAGAAAGTTGCTCGCTTTGTTGGCAATGCTTGACATGATTGAATATCAAAAGCCAGTTGCCAAACGCAAATCTCTGGCATGTTTCGAGCGGTTCCCTAGACATCCGCGTGCACACCCACATCGAGAAGCCGAGGCGGACAACGGGTCGAAAATTTAACAAGTACGACTCTCAAAGGACTCGTAAAACTGATAGCCGCCCGCTCGAGCCAGCCCCGAGTTGAAAAGCGCCGCACGTTTTCCTAAAGTTCTACAAGTGGCGCAAGGAGAATTGCCAACGGGCGCGGACGGCTGACGGCTCGTGAGTGGGCGGGGCGGGGCCAAAGCGGTTCACCGGCAGGCTCTGGGTCGCCGGTCGTGTCTGTGCTTGGGAGGCAAATTTTCTGCATAAGCCAGCAAATATATTTTGTGCACAAATTATGCCTTAAATGCCCCCGGACGTAGTCACTTTGGCTTGGGATTCGCTTTTCTCTGTTTTATGCTCGTTCACAAAGTGGCCGAAGAGGTATATTGGCTAAATGCTATTGTTATGAAAAGCTGATCATAGGCAGCCATGTTCATTTATCTGTCGTTTTGAAAACTTGAAATAAAAAAAATAAGAATTTAGTTGAGATGACTAAATGAATTGCTATTTTGCAGGCGAGGCATTTCAAGGAATTTCTATACTCGACGCTTACAGAGCACAAGCGCATATCCAGCAGTCGAGAACAGCCGGCTAGAATATTCATATTTAATTTTGTTTGTCCATGTTGGAGGTTCTTGTACGTTCCACACGCATACGCAATTATCCTCGGGGACAACTGTCGCCTTTTATCAGCACGAATGATTAAGACCGAAATGTTTTAAAATTAATTTTATAGTGTCACCTCAAAGACCCGAGCATTCGCTGAGCCGTAATCTGGGCACCGCCATTATGCGGATTATTGCCAGCTGATACTCGTATCCTGTGTACTGTGCATAAAAATTGCCCGCACTCCACACTTAAACCACAATAAAAAGTGCCATAAAATAACCAATTGCCATCCCATATGCTGCACAGATTTGTCGCCGAGCGAGTCGGAGCTCACAAAAAGTAGAAACACATTAGAGCTCTCTTTTAGTGTCGCATATTCCGCACGCCATGCAGATGATATAAAAAAAGGACATCCCAGTAGTTGATAGCTGTCTGTATCCGTATCCATTGTCGGGCGACAGCAGTGACTGCCATTCAATAGAGTCGTCTCTGTTTCCCATTCCCTGTCAAACGCCGCCCATTCGTGCGTTTTTTCTTTCTTCCTTTCATGCCAACTCTCATAATATGTAAATTATTTTGCACCCAGTACAATTGAGGCAACTGCCAGGCCGAGGCAGGGCTCGGAGGCGTTGGACGCTGTGTTGATTCCCTTGTTTGCTGACGAACTTTATCAATGAACGCAAAAATTCCTGCATAGCATTTTATGCTGCTGCGTTTATGCCCTACCAAAGAGACAGAGATAGACTGTGGCTGAGGCAGAGAGTTGCAAAACATTATGCTTATTGAGTTTTATATGCAAACTTATCCTTTTGTTGAGTGACAATCTCTTGTATAATATAGCTGGGGTTAACTTTAGGTATATATGTATATTCACGTTTATATACACACATATAATCGGTTTATTAAGATAATATTTATAAGCAAAATATTGTATGTTAGGGCATCCAAAGCTCGACTTACTCTCTTCACTAAACTCTTCTCTTATTTCATCTGCTCCTTTTTGCTCAGCCACGCATTGTGGCTATATTAAATTCCGATTTTATTGATTTATATCTCGAGCATCTTCTATTTTTTATTCACTTAGGCAGCAGCTACAGCATCAGCTTAACGCATCCTTCTCGACATGACAATGATAATATAATCACTGACAGCATATATAGTTTTTACAGTCTTCTTTTTGGCCAAACCAAGACTGGAATTTAAAAAGTGAGCAGATAACTCGAATTTGTTTGCTGTCCAACAAAATTTGTTTTAGCTTTTAGCTAAATAAATACTTTTATCCTTTTCTCTCTCTATCCTATCCCTATCTCTCTGTTATTTGAAGTCTGAAGCTTTTAAGTATGTTCTACATTATTTATCTGCTTGGCTCAATATTTACGAAGCGTAACGACTTAAGAACTCAGCAATAAAATATATTCGTATAATATATTTTTATTTTTATTTCTTTTTAAATTATAAAATGACTTCCGTCAGATCCTCAGCTCTTAAAGTCCTTTAAAGCTAAATATATTTTCACTAATTTTTGCCATTTATCAGGCATGCAAATTACTTTGTCTTGACGCCCAATATGGAGAATCATGATTTACCGTAAATCCACTTAATAACTAAACAAATAAGTAAGTCACAAACGTCGAATATATTTCAATTTTCAGTCTTTGTATTATGCAAACTCATTTCAGATGAAAGTAAATTTATAGCCCATCAGTAAGCAACAGCAACAGCAACAACAACAATTACAAGTAAAGGACCAAAAGGTTGTGAGCTCCATTAACCAAATGCCTTGGCATCGGCACCGGAAACTGAAGGGATGTTGGCCCGCAGCGTATTCCGGCGTAATTTATGCGCACAATTAATTTTAAAATCCTAATCTCAGACAATATCAACATGCTCAACAGAGGCAACGGGATTCGTGCGGCAAATACCGCACTGGGCATATACAAAATATATACACCTGGCGAATATTATTGATAAATGTACAAGAATAAATAAACAAGTAATTACGTTCTAAGCGGAATCGCATGCCTATATGATACCCTAACTTATGTTAGATTTAAAGAATTTAAAGAGAGCGCGAGCTGAACTATGAGAAATTAACTTTTGTTCTAGATGGCACATCTAGAATATATAAATATGTAATGTTAATAAATACACACACATATGTAAAAATATATTCGCTAAAGTCTAAGCTCTACTTATTATATTGCGTTGGGAATAAACTTGGAAGCCTTGGAATCTTGGACGTTTGAATGCCTCAATCCAATTATTCATTATTGACGATAATAAGGCTGACTTAAGTCTTAAATTATTAAATTAAAGAAATTTCTTTTAGTTGTAAAATATAATAAAATTATTGATTACAAATCTTTCCCTATTAATAAGCAGCTTGACCTAGAACATCAAACCTTTACTTTCAAATAATCATGCTAATTGAATTCTGGTACATAGAGGTAAACCTTTTATACTCTGTGATTATTGCTATTAATATTGATATTATTATTTTTTTAAATGAAGTATTAGACACCTCCCTACTCATTTCATTAGTACAGGATATACTTTAAGCTTACTGTCTCGCTTGGGCAATTAATTAAAATTGAAGCGGAATGTTTACTAATTGGGTATTTAATTTTCAGCTGTGATTAGGCGCCTCTTCAAATACCTATTCGGCGGGCTGATAAGCGGTACCAGCAATGGCGCTATAGCTGTATCATAACTGGCAAGAGTTAACCCGTGCGATTTAAGTGGTCTCGTTCATGGTTTAATGAGCACATCAAATGCGAACTTTATAGGTAGAAGCTCAGCCCGGTTAGCTGGAAATGCTGCTCTTTGCGCTCTGCACTTACCGCCAGCTCGCTGTGCAGATGATAATTATAATGCCACTTAATGGTATAAGAGCTAGAGACCCATGTTGCCGTTACTGTTGCTGTGGCTGTTGCTGTTGCTCTTCTGCTCAGCTCCACTTAAATGCCACGGGCATTAAGCGCTTAAATTGCAGGAGCGGATTTAAGAGCACCAGGAAGTGCTTGAGCAACAATTAAATAAAAATTGTTGCTTAAAGATTTTATTGTTGAAGGTAAGGTGCATTTTTAAATAAAATTATAAAATAACACAAAAACTTATATAGGGAGGAAGAAAAAACTTGTATACAAATAGAAATGAAATATTGATTGTCAAATTGTATAGATATGTACATGCATACACAATTTATCAAAACATTGTGTTTACTTATTTCAGTTATTTATATATGTATTCAATAGACAGCTTGCAGCGCCCCATTTACAATAGCGCCAAGTGTCCCGCTTATGGCCCATTCCGCTCCTGTATTGCTTTTGCTCGTAAATTATGAACATTATCGCTAAGGACATTTAACTTGCAAATTACCATAGATCAGCATACCACAATGATGCGGGCACTATGGAACAACCACACCCACACATACACACGCACGCACAAGCACACAAATACAAACACCCACTCACGCATGCACTAATAGTAAAAAATATTCGTATGTACCTATAGAGACTCCCTCCCATTCTCTATTCTATTCCACATTATCTATATGTATACACATTATTTTTATTGCACGCCACATACAATATGCAGAAATCGTGGAATATTTGGCGGTATCTAAGCAAGAACTTTGCACATTAACCTGTTACCTCTGTTATCTTTATGTATTTCTAGAGCTTTTTCTTTTGAGTTTGAATGGAAATGGGTCTGGAGGATAGCTTAAAACAAGTTATCCCATATTCAATTATGCACAATTATGCACACACACGAGTCCCTCTCACACACACAGCCACAGACACATATTTACAAACACATAAATCAATCCACAGAGCAGTCAGTGGGGATCAGAGACAATGTGAATGTATATACATTTTATACTTTTGTGGCTACTTTGCTTTTTTTGCTTGATGTCGCTCGCTGTCTGCTCGAGTTTTATGCGTTCCATTTTATTATCACGCATGTCAGCTTGAATTTTATTTTAAATTACAGCTAAATAAGAATGAAGCTTGACAGAGGAATTTCCCAAGTCGTATGACATACAATTACTCTGAGAATATTTATGGTATTTTGTTTAGCCTTCTGATTAAACTTACCGGCAATCTCTGGTTTCGGCTGACTTATCGATGCTGTTACTAAATATCCATCATAATAAATTTGAGCCTCTTGGTTCGATTCCCAAGTGCGCACACACACACACACACGCACACAGTCTAAATTATGGCCTTGTTGTGGGCTTTATCGTCGTCTGCAGTTAGCTTTTAAGCCAAGCAGCTCATTCCTCGAATTTTCCACCCGAAGTAGCAAACAGTCTACGAGATACTGTATCCAAGCTATTTATTAAGTTTACAACAAATAAATTTGTATTTTAAGGAAAGTTGCTGGACTTTAATCTGAAAGTTTTAATTAAATGTTTATACGGCTTCTTTGTAGTATATGCATATTGTTGTGCTCGAATAATTTACAGTGCTCGGTAATTCATTCAATTAAAAACTTGCCGTCATTTGAATAATAATAAATGCCGTGGGCGTTTATTCAAATGTGAGAAGCAATTTTAGAGATCTTCATGGAATTTTAGGCCATTTAATTTCGAGCTCTGCATAACGGCAATTGCAGCAATATTTTAACTGTCGTGTGTGTTTTTGTGTGTGTGTTGCCGCAGCGGGCAGACCGCAAAGTGAAACTATTTTATCTTTTGTCAATTGCTGTGCGTAAAATTTGATTGCACACCTAATTGGCAAGCCAATTAAATTACACGTAACCACAATCAAAAACTAATTACAGTTAACTTAATTGCATTGTTTTTTTTATTTATTTATTTTTCGTAGTTCACAATACCAAGAGCTAACCACAGAATGTTTGCCAGTTGCGAAATTTGATATGAATTCGAGTCCGAGTTTTGGTTGTTTGGCCAGCCAATTTGTTGACTTGGTCACGGACGTTTCACACTGCTGGATTACGACATAAACCTCTACAAGTTGGCCAAGCTGCGAATCGAGCCAAGTTCTGTGGCATTCGGAGTGCGCGCCGCGAGCCAACTGTTTGCCCAATGCTTGCGGCAGCTGCTTTTATACCAGAGCCGAGTCCTTGCTAAGGCGTCGGCGCGGATAAATTGCTGGCTAGAAGCAAAGAGGCGAAAGGATGCAGCCGGCATCCTGGCTGCATGCGCTGCTCTTTTGCCAGCGTTTGTTTACATATGGCGACAGCTGAGGCCAAATGCCAGCCCGAGACTAGGAATCTCACTTTGTCTAAGATGCCATTGTGTGTGTGTGTGTGTATGTGTATATGTGTACATTACATTGAAGTTTTAATTGAATTGCGGCAGCAAGTTTTTAACTGCATTCCACAAACACAAAACACACAACACAAACACACAGCCAGCAAAGGTGTGAGCCAAGTTTTGTGCCACAAAACTTTACAGCTTTAAAGTTTTTCACTTTTGATGTGGCATCATTGCAGTTGCATTGCATTCTCTTTTATTTTCTTACTACTGATCCGCTTCTACACTACTCTCTCCCCTCTCTCTCCCTCTCCAAATGCAGTTTAAGAACTGCGAGCTGAAACAAACAAAAGGCGTCAGGCGCAGCAGCGCGGCGGCTGCCCTCAAAAGTAGGCAACGCAAAATGTTCATTTGGCAAGCGTTCGCTCTGCTTGAAAACTGTGTCGAACACCTGTTGTTATTATTGTTGTATTAGCTAGCAGCTTGTTTATGTTGCTGTTGTTGTTGCTGCCCTCTGCTTGTTTGTTACTTTGTCTCTTCTTTAGATTTTGCCTGCCGCAAAAGTTTTGATTTCGCTTTTGTTTCGGTTGCTGCTCTTGTCGCCCCATTGTTCTTACTTGCTGGCAGAGTTTATAAGCACCCTGCCAGGTGTTTTGATTTATTGCGGTTTGGTTAAGTGCGGCACCAACTTCATTTTAATCTCCCACAGTTTAAAAGTATTTTCTGCAGTGTGTACAGCTGCTTTTGTCATTGATCTGTGGGGGCTAAAGAGAAAAGAGCAGAATGCTAATCACTAAAATCTATTGAAAGCATATATAAACATATGTATATCGAATTATTCTCTAATGTAGTTCTAAAAACAAAAGAAACTGTACTGAAGCTGTAATACACTCTCATTTACTCAAACTTTTCTCTTAAAAGAAAAGTTTGAGTGCCTTTGACTTTCCCTGCACAAAGATCTGAAGGCTGAGCCATAAATTATTTAAAAATCCGATAAATCATGACTCTGTTCGCAAATAAAAAAGCTTCTGCACTTCTTCATTACAGTTTCCCAAAAAGTTTGTTTTTTCGTATCGACTGTGCGATCCTAACTCATTTCGTATGCCCTCTTATCTGCTGTGTTAACCCACTTAGAACAATTTAAGCGCTGTGCCAATTTCACACCCACAGCAACTGCAAACACATCCGGCCCCGTCCCGGGCTAGTTTCTTTATGCGGCTGATTCGTTTCGACGCTAATTACAATTACGTTCCCATCCAATTGCCAGGGGACATTTCGAATATCGGGCTGGGGAAAGGAGCGTGTATATCTATAGCTGGCCGGCTGCTCGCGACATAGACCCATTGAGACTCCAAACATAGCCATGCATATTTTATTCTCTATGTTGTCGGCAAAATTTGCTGGCAAATTGCCTACACCATTTTCGACAGGCCCGTTGCCACTGTCATTGCCGTTTGCAATCCCATTTCTATGGCTACTCACAGGGCTCGGTTTTAGTCTGGTTTCTTTTTGCTCTCCGACCACGATTCGTTTGGCGTTTTGCAAGTGTAACTTAATTTGTTGCCCCATCGGTGGCTACAGCAGCCAAAAACCATTTGGTTCATGCACAATTTTGACACCCACCACGCCCACAGCCCGCCATCAGACACGCCCACTTACAAGTACATATGTACTCTTGTGGTGTGAGATGGGTTTGGCAGGGCCCGGCCTTGCTGCCGTTTTCATTAGTACTCAATTAATGGAGCATGATCTTAATGGGTTTTCAACAACAGGCCGTCCAAATCGAACCAAACCGAATGAGTCTAGCACTGCCCGGCGCGTGGGCGGGCAGCGAGGCGTGCCGTTTGCTAAGTGCGCCAAATCAGCAGAACTCTAATTGGAGACGGACATAGGACATAGGATGCGAGGACGGATGAGCAAGAGCAAGAGCAAGAGGATGCGGAAGCAGCCAAGGGCGGGCATTGTGAGCTTTCAAAAAGTTTATTACTGCCAAAAAAGGCGAGAAAAAACATATTGACCACACGCTGAACCACAAAGGAAAGGAAAATATTGTTTGATCGACTGACTAGGCTATACTCTGTAAAGGCAAATTAAAGTAAATCAGAAATTATTCTTGACTGTTTTTTTTCGTTTGTGATTATATTTTGATAACTCTTATCTTATCTAAGCCTTTTAATGGAATATCAGATTATATGTAAGCTATAGGGTATTCAAAAAACAATTATCGTTGTGTGGGCATTATGTGCGAGAGTGATTCGCCAAAATTTCTACTACTGCTCGAGGCAAAGTGCACGGCTTTAGCCGCTTGCTTTGAGCTGTTGATGGCTGCGTGGCTTTGAAGCCTCATTTGGTCAAACACTTGATGATTGATTGAACGCACGTTACGGAAATTGTGCTTACTTGCCGAATGTTGTGGCAATTATTAAAGGCGAGTAGTACTCGGAATGGAAGCTAATTCTTGTCGAATACTCTCTCTCTTTATCCCAGATTAAGCGAACTTTTAATAATTCACATTTTCGCACTCAATCGACTATCGACTTGTGTGTGCCAGACCCCCCTCGTACTTCATGGGGTAAATATTTGCATTACATAAGTATTCCCCAATCAGCTCAGATCTGCGAGTTCGCTTCTCAATTACCTGCTCAAATTTAAGAGCCCCGGCTTATGCCGGCTTTACAAAGTGCGTGCAAACATAAATTCGAAGAAGCTTCTGCTCCAAATTGAAATATTTATTTTGGAAATTCGAGCGCAAAATGTTCCTTACCTCTTTTTGGGGCACTTTAACTGCAACAACGGCGAGCCCCACGCCTCCGGGATGTCTGGCCATATTCAATCAGTGTGAAAAAAGAAGAAAATGAAAAGAAAATCTACCTTAACACGGCCCAGGGCGCAGTGGATAACAACTGGTCCGCGTGTCGACTGGGCCTCCGGGCAAACGAGGCTAATATTTCAGCGGCTCGAATGGCGTGAAGCAATTGCTTTCCGGTTATTGTGTATATTTACGGGCCATATTTGTTGCCAAGCATCTGGCAGCCGATGAAATACAATTTCAAACCTGCATTTGCTGTAAACGAATTGTCTGCGTTAAATTTTCCCCAGGTTTTCCTCGAGCTATGCAAATGCCAATGGTGGGAAATTCGATGAAAAGCATCAGCCAGCCACTTGGCTTGGCTACACAAAGCAGACTCAAGCATAAAAAAGTATAGGAGATACCTTTGAAGCAAATTTAACTCGCATATTTGGGGATTGCCCAAATTCAAAGTATAGAAATTTCACATTAAATAATTGGTATTCAATACATAGCAGCTAAGAGTCTGTAAATGTCTTTAATGTAATTCGTTTCGTTTAAAGACATGTCTGGCTCTTGCATATGCCAAGTTAAAGACAGAACACTTCTTCTCAGTGAATTTTGAGTATACTATAAAAAGAGAACACTTGTGAACAGCTTTACCCAATTACGAAATCAAATTTTCATATTTTCATGAATTTTCCAAGTGCCATTCGAAGAAAAAAGCAAAACACTTCAAGCAATTCGAATTTGTTGTTATACCCGGCACTAAAGGAATAAGGTATGCCGTGCTAAATGCAAAAGTAGATCAACCACCAACTCTATCAACATGATATAAAACGATAATATAAAATAAAAAAATAAAAAAATATTTTCCTTGTTACTTTCATCTTGACTCTTCGAGTATAAAATATCAAGTACTTCAAACAAGAATCAGAGATCTAGAATATCAGCAAGTCGATTGGCTACTGTGTTGAGATACTTGAAATACTTGAATTTCACTTTTACTTCTGATACTTGAAACTGAAAATTGAGCATTTTCTTAGTTCTCTCTGAGGCATAAGCGAATGCCAGAGTTTTGTCCTTTTCTTTTGCCTTTTTGCCAGTCGCACGGTAATGAGATTTATTACAACAGATTGTTACAATATTTTCATGATGAGCAAAACAGCGAGACAAGAGCAATTTAATTTTTAATTTTCCAA